AGAGCTGATAATGGGTTTTTATCTTTTTGGGTGTTGATGACAAGAGGAACTGATGTAATTGCTACTTAATATAATAGGATTCTGGCTATGTAATAGTATACATGTGATTGTATGTTATGAAAATGGAAAATAAAAAAGTATATTCAAAAGAAAGTTAACAACCGGTTCTCCTGAATAGGCGCGAACTGGCTGAATCCCACCACTGTTTGCAAGGGATGGTTTTAAATTAAAAAAAAAACCCTCAATGGTACATAAATAGCACAGTATCATCCGTGGTCATTATAACACAGCAGTTAAAACTTGCCTGCAGACACCCTTTTGATTGGCTCGGTTAAGGGAGTCTGGTTTAAGCAGCTATTAAGAGACACTCTTCTGAATGTGGAAAGGGACAGTGAAGGAAAATCAGTATAAAGAATGCAGGTGCAACATCAGGATATTGGATGCTCCATGAGCAACAGAGCGACTTCAGCTAGTCCAGAAGACAGAGGGTTTGTTTCAAATGCCGTAATTGGATGTAATCAGAAATGCTGATATTGAACTCAGGTGGTAGGAGAATTGTAAATGAGGTGAGATAGCCTTCCTATGGAAAACATAATGTCCCCACAGGCTGAAGAGAAACAGCCAAAGTTTGCAATCTTATTTATTTCTTAACTTTGTTCAACGCCCATCTCACTACAAGTGAGTCTTATAACCAGACTCACCAGTCTTATAACAATTCCAGTAATGTTAGGGGCTCAAAGTAAAATATGCCTAGAGAAAGAGGAATGCACATTGAGTGAGAGAAGAGATATGGAGTGACCTCTGCCTTAAATGGATCTACTGCTAGTAGATGGAACAGTCTGGTGAAAAATTAATGTTGGAACGAATAGGGCTGATTGTGCACTACTGTGACTTCCAACCTGAGCATCCTTGAGCATAGCTGATGTAGAGAGTGAAGATGATGACCTTATTGGAGAAAGAGGAGATTTGTTGCCAAAACAATGAGGAGAGAGGCTTTGCTTAAATCCAAACAATGGAATGAAAAAATGTTTCAGACCTCCCTAATCGACGTTATTATTAAAGTGGAGATAGTAAGGTAAACTATACTCAGATTGGCAAGATGCTCTTACTACAGCCAATCTTAATAAAAGTAGTTTAAATCTTAATATAGAGTTGATTTCTTGGACTGATCTACACCGTGGGGCTAAAAGGTTTATATCTACTTGTCATTCAGCAACTCAAGATCAGTAGGTCACTGATCACTCTGGAGAGCCAGAGATGGAGGCCATGCATCCATCCTGGTTCCCCTTGACCTCTCAGCGGCTTTCGATACCATCGACCATGGTATCCTTCTGCGACGACTGCGGGAGGTGGGCGCCCCGTGCCAACTCAATGAAGCGGTGGACGTGATGAACCGGGGTCTTGAGGCCGTTAAGAACTGGATGAGGGCTAACAAAATGGCACTCCACCA